TGGTCACGACGCTATGTATCAGTAGTCTTCGTGTAGATATGTATAGTGTATGTACGATGCAACTGGTTGATGTTATGTTAGATTATACGAGAGGGTGACCCGTGCTACGCACGGGCAGAGCGAATTGAGAAAAGAGATTGAGAGAAGAATTCAGAAGAGAATTAAGAGAAATCGAATGAGAAATGAGAGGAACGCGCCGCCCGCCGCCAACCTTCGGTTGGCTGGGCGTGCAGCGCCCCTGTGAGAGGCGCCTCGTGAGAGGGGATCACTGGCCAATGAGAGTGCCTCTTTGTCTCGGGGATTTGACGCCCGAGGTGTTTTATTATATTAGATTGGCCGGTGAGAACCACAAGTTGCTCACCCTCATCTACGTCAGATGGCCTGTGCCCAAGCATTGCAAGGCTTCTGTTCGAATCGTTCCCGTCGCGAGCTCCTTTCATCTGTTTTAGAACGAAATGACGAAGCATGATCCAACGACGCGGTATGTCAATAAGCTCTGTATGGACATAGCAAATACCCGAGCACGCACACATTTTTTGCCATGGTCACACCTGAGCCACGAGAGAGAGAGCTTGCAAAATCCAGTGCCAGATGATATTCATAACCAATCCGACTCGGAAAACATGTTCAACCTCATAGAGTACTCAATAACCCCATCATCTCTTCCCACGTGCAAATCCCGCAATCATGCAACTCCTGCAGCACGGCCGAGATACCTCATAGTGAAGAATGAGCATCTCGCTCATGCAGTCAATGTTACAAGACTCACAGTTCAGCTGTCCCCCCCCCCCCCCCCCCCCTCACTCCCGGCATAACGCTTCCTGCATCGCCTTGATGTTCTTCCTCAACGAGGCCAGCTTTCGGTCGGACCCAGGAGTACCCATCTCGTATATCTTAGACCACCGCAGCTTCCGCGGAGCGTCGACGTATGTGGCGTTCGGGCCTCCTGCTTCTCGGGGAACGTTATCGCGGGTTAGAAGGGTGAGTCTCCAATAGTGTCCGCTAGAGGCGATGAGATAAACCTCCTTCACGCTTCGATCAGCGTCGAGAAGGAGGGCGCCTTGATCTTCTGCCTGCGTTTCCCCGGTGGCCAAGTGGTCGAGAAGTTTGGGCTCGAATTCTTGCGCTGGCTGGCGTCTCTTGGGGCGCCGCTTGCATTCTACTATGGCGACCACCCGACTCTTCTTGATTTTATGACCCAAGAAGTAGGCCTTGAGTCGACCGTCGTCGGCGTCGTCCGGCCTGCAGTCGCCGGCGATGATGCAGAAGTCGGGAACCTTTTCTTCATTCACTGGAATGCCAATGGTCTCCATGCTGGCATCCGGGTCTTGCACGGCGGCATCGTCGCCGTCATCGCCCTCGCCAGCCATCTCTACATCTCCGCCTGCGTCCAGCTCCACCATTAAGTTCACGGGTAGCTGAGGAGCGATGATTGTGCAGGGTACACCTGACAGCACAGTGTTAATCCTATGCAACATTTCCGCGTACCAAGGCGCCTCGATGTTTCGCCTATTAGCGAGGTATGACAGCCCAGTGTGGCGTGAGATTGCCAGCTTGGCTGCAAGCTGTTGCTGGGTTTGAGCGACGTAGTCTGACATTTCCTTGACTCGGAGACTTGAGGGCTGAGAGGGTACAGGGTAGATTGACGAATTCGACGAGGCACTCACCTTAATATGGAGACACTTCGCAGGCAAGGGAACAAGGGCGGCAGATAATAGGAAACCCTGAGGTCTTGGACTTGAACAAAACATTTACCTGTTTGAGAATTGTTATCGCCCCGGCAGCATCAGTAAGATCGCATGGTGTCTTTTTGGACTTATGAGAAGTCATAAAAGACCAAAAAGTACAGAAAAGTACATAAGTACAGGTGCCTTTTGGAAGCCATGTACCTTACTTTCAGAAGTCAGGTGTACTTATGAGAAGTCATATAAGACCCCAAAAATACCCCTATAAGACAACAAATAAGACATCGAAAAAGCTGCATGGACAGCAATAGCGCCATCCTCGGAGGCTCGGATCACATCAATAGGACAGTAGTGCGACAAATGTGTATTCCAGCCTGAGCACTGTGCAGATAAGTAAACACAGTAGATAATCTACATGATAGCGGCAGATATAGGTCTATGCGTCTAATACGATGGCCGCTGTGCCAGCTGCAATATCACGGCCACAGTCGCCCGGGTCCTCACAGGCTGACTGGGTGGTGGTGACGCAGATGGTGAGATGCTAATGTCCATTAACACCATTCAGAACTCCTACTCATGATTGTCAATGTCATGCAGCTGGTCATCAGTCTGCTCTTTTGAGTACAGCATGACATACGCCTTGGAAAGGTCATTGCTGACCTGCGACAGCTGCCCAGACTTACTTATATTGCTAGATGACCATGACCACACACCTTTACAACCATGCTTCAGTCATTACTCCGAGGCACTCCGACAACTTGCTCTTCTGCTTCTCCGGCACCTGCGAGATGCATGCGGAGCCAGCGCTCACCAGACTGTGCGTGTGGCTCACCTGATCTACACTTCTTGCTGTTAAGTAAGTCCTTTGGCACAAATATAACACATCTGTTGAACTTCAGTATAAGCATTTACGAGGAATTTGCGTGTACCTTGAGTTATGAGTAAGGCCTATCGTGCTTTATCGGCGGCGCTGGAGAGGGAAGTGATCTTGAGACAGCCGATTGTGTTACGTGACTATTCTCCCAGAGAACTATATCGAACTTAGCTGTGAGCAGGTCTGTTTAAACTACAGGAGCTAGAGGAGGGAGAAGGGGTGCACTGTAGACCTTTGACGTCTGCCTGAAGTGGTATTGACTTCGGCGTAACCATGGCGACAGTGAGACTGAGTGCGCGATACACTTACATACTTATCCATCAACGCACCTTAGTTATTGCGCACTGTGGCCAATGCATCGAACGAGAAAACTGGCTGAGCTTGAGCGACAGAGATATGACGAGTGATGAGGACATGACGAGAGCCTCAAATCAGCTTGGCCATCATTCATGGTTGGTCTGCATATAGACGCAATCATAATGGAGTATGTCGAGACTGGGAGGCAATGAATAACTAGGGAGGGAGGGCATTGGTGGTTAGGGAAGAACGAAAACTTAGACATTTTTCACTCATCGACGGCTGGTACCGGCAAAGCCCGTTATCGGATCAGCATTCAAAAACCAGCACCCAAGCAGTCTCCCACTACGGGCATCCCCAGATTTCAGGGGGCCCGAAATGTCCCAGACAAGGCATCCGAAATGTAACATTTTGGGAGACTTTCCAGCAACTTTCCTGAGTGCTGAAATGCTCACTTTTCTGTCACTTTTGAGGCAATTTCTCTTGTCGGAAAAGGCTGTCTGTCACGCGCTTTGAAATAAACCTGAAACATCCCAGTTAGGCAGGCTGTACTGGTCATATGAGTGTCCCGGAAATTGCCGGGAAAGCCATCAATACTGATGGCTTTGTAATACATTTCAGGACATCAGGAACAAGCGCCTTTGGAGATTCAGAAATTTAATAGACCAAAAACTGATGATAGTCCTGAAATACTCTTAAAATGTCTCGAGCAGGTATAATTAAGGCGCTCATAAAATGTATGTAACAAATTACCTTTATGGTTGCTGAAACTATAGCTGCCATGT